AACCGGACAGAGAAACCCTGCGGGCCAGCTATCGCTCCCGGGCCAAGCCCTGCCCCCCCCCCCAATCTCCCTTAATACGATTGCATTTTTTCAAAGCTAGCCGGGTTGTGAAAAAGAAAGACAGGTTGCGAAGAATTGTACATGGAATGGTGTCTTTTTTTTTTTTTTTGGTTTTTTCCCCCCCAACATTTTCCAACTATTCCAAACAAGAGGAAAAAGAAAAAAGACAGTTACAATGCTAGACTCCTTTTTCATTTAGTTACATAAATAAAATTTCTTTTTATAAATACCTCTTTATAAACAATATATAAATAGCTTTACAACATAAATACATTTATGCGTGACGTGACTGTACAAACAGCAACCTTCGGGGAATACAGCTGGTTTCCTCAAGTCTCTGGGTGGGAAAAGGTCCCTTGTCGTGAGGGATTCGGGGCCGGGGGGAGTTGTGTGTGTGTGTATAGATAGAGATATATATGGGTTAAGATAGAAAGGGAACATACGGAGTTCCGAAAACAAAAAGACGCCCCCCCCTCCCAATTGCTGGTTCTGTCACAAGTCCTCGTACCAACAGGGGTGTGCCAAGCCAGGCCTTCGCTCTGGCGCTTGGCAGTCCATCAGCGGTGACCCAGGAGTTGTGGGAAGATGTTCAAAAATGTCCGCGGGGAGGGGGTGAGGGGGTTTCAGAAGGAGCGTCCGACCTGGAAGGAAAGCAGACAAAAACCTCATTAGGCTCTTCCCCAGGTCCTTCGCTCGGTTCCTGCGGGGACTTTTCCTCACAAGAAAATGACACCGTCAAACATGGCGGCGCTGTCCCTCGCGGACTAAACGCACGCAACGTTCGTGTCATTTCGAACGCCACCCAGTCTCTTTATCCCACCCTGCTTCGAAGGCACTCAGGAGAGCGGTGTCGATGGTCGTCGTCCCCCCCCCCCAGTTTTGCCCTCAAAATAACCGCGAAAGTTAGGTTAGGCAGAGAGGAAATGACCCGCCCAGTGTCACCCAGCGAGGTTCATCGGTTTTGCCCTCAAAATAACCGCGAAAGTTAGGTTAGGCAGAGAGGAAATGACCCGCCCAGTGTCACCCAGCGAGGTTCATAGTTTTCAGAGAAAAAGAGAGAAGAAGAGATTGGATTTATATCCCAGCCTTCATTACCCAAAGGAGTCTCCGAGCAGTTTACAATCTCCCCTCCCTACAACAGACACCCCGTGAGGTAGGTGGGGCTGAGAGAGGTCTCCTGAGAACTGCCCTTGAGAGAACAGCTCTGAGAGAACTGTGACTGATCCAGGGTCACACCAGCAGCTGCATGTGGAGGAGTGGGGAATCAAACCCAGTTCTCCCGGATTAGAGTCTGCACTCCTAACCACGACACCAGACTGGTCTTTCCCGTCACCTCCTGCTTCGTCCTTTTAATTGGCGGTTGCTGGGGATTGAACCAGGGACCTTCTGCATGAGAGAACAGCTCTGAGAGGGCCATGACTGACCCTAGGTTCAAGCTCCGTCACACCTTAGAGACCAACAAGAGATTCAGGGTATCGGCTTTCAAGAATCAAAGGTCCCTTTGTCAGATAACTCAGGCGGGTTCATGGCCGAGTGGGGATTTGAATACAGATCCAGGCGGTCGGCCGTGTTGGTCCGAAGCAGTAGAACGAATTTAGAGTCCAGTGGCACCTTTAAGACCTAACCCACTACACCACACAAGTTCTGGTCAGCTTCCAGGTTCTGTCCAGCCTCCTTTGAGCAAGCGGGAGACCAGCATGGGCGGAGTGGCCCCGATTCCCATGAGATGGCGCCGCAACTCTGCACACTCCAGCTCCCGGCATGGGGCCAACTGGCCACGTGAACGCACCGCTATGCAAAGAATTCAGCCTCTCATGGGCTGAAGTCAGCGTTGCATCGGGAACATGTGTGGAACCGCGCCACAGCTGTAGGCTAGAGAGAAGACTGCTTAGCCTCGAAGGGACCCAAAAACTCCTGTTGAATTTTGCTCCAGTGGACGGACAGACATGGTTACTGGGCTGGAGTGGCTGGCCCAGAAAGCCCTCAAAGGTGAGAGCTGAGGGGCTGGGTCTTCCCCGTCTGTGCCAGGACCATCTCTCCTGCTATAGACCCCCTCGCAGCCACTGGGATCAGACCCTGCAAGCTGTGGGCACCTGGATTGTCCTGTGCATTGTAAAACATGCATGCCTGCAGCCCCCTGGTTATGGGGAGCTGGGAAACCCACAGGAGTTTCTCCAGCAACTGCCTGGTCATCCTGGCTTAGCTCTTTTTCATTCCACTGGGCCGTGCACGACAGCCGTGTCACACCCCCGGGGCCAGATCCACTTTTAACACACATGAGTGCTGTCGAGTTGGCACCGTCTTATGGTGACCCCAGCAAGGGGCTTTCAAGGCAACGGAGAAGCAGAGGTGGTTTTGCCATCGCCTGCCTCTGCGGGGCCTTCCTTGGTGGGTGGTCTCCCTTCCAAGTACCGACCCTGCTTAGCTTCCTCCAGCAAGGGGCTTTCAAGGCAACTGAAAAACAGAGGTGTTTTGCCTTCGCCTTCCTCTGCAGAGCCTTCCTTGGTGGCCTCCCTTCCAAGTACCGACCCTGCTTAGCAACCCCAGGAAGGGGCTTTCAAGGCAAGTGAGAAGCAGGGGTGGTTGGCCATGGCCTTCCTCTGCAGAGCCTTCCTTGGTGGTCTCCCTTCCAAGTACCGACCCTGCTTAGCTTCCCCCAGCAAGGGGCTTTCAAGACAAGGGAGAAGAAGAGGTGGTTGGCCATTGCCTTCCTCTGCCTTTGCCTGTGTGCGTAAAGTACCGTCAGGTCACAGCTGACTTACGATGACCCCAGCAAGGGGCTTTCAAGGCAACGGAGAAGCAGAGGTGGTTTTGCCTTCGCCTTCCTCTGCAGAGCCTTCCTTGGTGGTCTCCCTTCCAAGCATCGACCCTGCTTAGCTCCTGCGATCGGATGAGATCGGGCTACACCGTACTGCCTTCCTTCCCCATTCCACCTGCAAAGGCACCCCACATCCACTTGTGCTTGGAGGTAATTATTGAAAACACATCAACCCCCCCCCCCTGCCGCCTTTGGCCCTTTCAAGGCAAGGTGCATGGTTGTTTTTTTTTTAAATGATCACATTTCAAGCTCTCCCCCGCCCCATCACCACAAGCAATCAGCAGATTGAGGTTTATAAGATTATGCATGGGAAAGAGCAGGTAGAGAAAGAGGTACTTTTCTCCCTTTCTCACAATACAAGAACTCATGGGCACTCCATGAAATTGCTGAGCGGTCAGGTTAGAACGGATAAAAGGAAGTACTTCTTCACCCAAAGAGTGATTAACACTTGGAATTCACTGCCACAGGAAGTGGTGGCAGCTACAAGCATGGACGGCTTCAAAAGGGAATTAGATAAGCATATGGAGCAGAGGTCCATCAGTGGCTATTAGCCACAAGGTATAGATAGGGACTCTGGGGCAAGTGATGCTCTGTCATCTTGGTGCTTGGGGGGGGGGGTCAACAGTGGGAGGGCTTCTAATGTCCTGGCCCCACTGGTGGACCTCCTGATGGCACTGGTATTTCTGGCCACTGTGGGATACAGAGTGTTGGACTGGATGGGCCTTTGGCCTGATCCAACATTGGCATCTCTTATGTTCTTATGGTCATCTGCTCAGCATTCCCTGAAAGCCTTGGAACGATGCGCCGTGTCAAATCATCATCTCGACATAAGAAGAGACAGCACCCAGGGGTCATTTCATAGAAAAAGAGGTGCAGGAGCTCATTAACAGAGCTCATTTGCATAACTCATTTGCATATGCCACACCCCCTGAAATCACCGGAAGTGTGGCAGAAGGCAACACCCACCGCTCAGACTCCACTGGACTGTTTTGGATTGCTAGCTATGGGGGGGGGAAGGAATGTGCAGATCTGGCACATTCTGAGAGGTGACATGATTGAGGTTTATAAGGTTATGCATGGGAAAGAGCAGGTAGAGAAAGAGGTACTTTTCTCCATTTCTCATAATACAAGAACTCGTGGGCACTCCATGAAATTGCTGAGCGGGAGGGCTGCTGGGAGCAGGGGGCGGGGCTTGTTGCCTGTGCCCGCCCCCTGGGCTCTTTACTGCCGGAGCTCCGCTCCTGTGCGCTCCTGCAGGAAATGACCCCCGGACAGCACTAAGGGAAGATGACTGAGGAAGCTGTTTCAACCCTGGGGGTCACTAGAGGGAAGCCCCCCCCATTATCAACCCCAGAGCAGGGCCCCCCAAAGACGATCCCGTACAAGAACTTGGGGTAAGACAAGTTGGAGCTGACTCGACTGAGAAGGGCTTCCAAAGCAAGAGACATTCAGAGGTGGATTTGCCATCAGCCGTCTCTGTGCAGTGATCCTGGACTGCCTTGGTGGTCTCCCATCCAAGTATTATTGAGGGATAACCCTGCTTTTAGAGAGCTGCGATGGCTCAAGTGGCTAAGACGCTGAACTGCAGGCTGTGGAAGGTCTTTTTTTTGTTCAGCAGTTCGAGACCCGAGTGTGCCGCATGACGGAGTGAGCTCCCGTCTCTAGCTCCTGCCAACCTAGCAGTTCGAAAGCAAGAAATTGCAAGTAGATAAATAGGTACCACTTCGGTGGGAAGGAAACAGCATTCTGTGCGCCTTGGCGTTTAGTCACGCCGGCCACATGACCACAGAAACGTCTTCGGACAGCGCTGGCTCTTTGGCTTTGAAACAGAGATGAGCACCGCAACCCTAGAGTCGGATTCGACCGACTTTCGAGCAAGGGGAACCTTGACCTTTACTTAAAGTCCACTAGCAAATGGCTTGCGACGGGCCGCTGACTGACTCTCTTTGTGTGATCGCTCTGGCGCGCTCCTCTTCTGTCGTCAGAGCGCGCCGGGGATGTCCTGTCTGATCACGTTTGCAGCGGGACGCACTGTGCCGGCGCCAACAGCCACGCCTCCCCCCCGCCCCCCGCCTTTCCCGGCAAGTGTGAACTGGAGGGACCCTTCTCTTCTTCTGGTCTTCCTGGGTGGTCTCCCATCCAAGGGCTCACCAGGACCGACCCTGCTTAGCTTCCGAGATCTGGGGAGATCAGGCTAGCCTGAGACATCCAGGTTAAAGTGTCTTAAAGGTAAAGGTTCCCTTGCTCGAGAGCCAGTCGAATCCGACTCTAGGGTTTCGGTGCTCATCTCCGTTTCAAAGCCGAAGAGCCAGCGCTGTCCAAAGACGTTTCCGTGGTCATGTGGCCAGCATGACTAAACACCAAGGCGCACGGAACGCTGTCCCCTTCCCACCGAAGTGGTACCTATTTATCTACTTGCAATTTCTTGCTTTCGAACTGCTAGGTTGGCAGGAGCTGGAACTAGAGACGGGAGCTCACTCCGTCATGCGGCGCACTCAGGTCTCGAACTGCTGAACTACCGACCTTCCACAGCCTGCAGTTCAGCGTCTTAACCACTTGAGCCACCGCAGTGTCTTCTAGAATCATAAAATCGTAGAGTTGGAAGGGACCTTCAGAGTCATCTAGTGGAACCCCCTTGCACAAGGCAGGAAATCCACAAACGCCTCCCGCTCCACACCCCCAGTGACTGCTGTTCCACACCCAGAAGACGACAAGAAAACCTCCAGGATCTCCAGCCAAACTGGCCTGGAAAACAATGGCTTCCTGGCCTCCTGTCTTGTTTTTTTAGCGGCTTGTTTTTAATGCCGCGACCTCGTTTTCACT